CCCCCCCCCCCCCCCCCCCCCCCCTTGAAGATTCGTCTTCGACACTCTGTCTAAAAGTCGCTCATGCCGGCATATAATGCCACGCGCCCTTGACCGCCTTCCCAGTACAGCCTGCTGGGTTGGTTATACAATGACCGCTAGCGCAGCTCCTCCGTTCTTGGAACTCTATCCGCCATGAGTCTGACCAAAGTCCTGGTTGGGTGGTTTTGTTCTCTTGCAGTGTCATCATAATGCGGGATGGGTACGGAGCGTGTACCAGGGGTATCGAATGTGGCGCGCCGCCAGCACGAGTCCAAAACCCGTTAGGCTCCGCCAACCTTAGCCCAGAATACCTTATGCGCGAAAGTACCTAGTGGGTGTCATTCGGAAACGCAAAGGGTACATCCTGATCCCAAGCCCCCGGATACCGCAGCTGATCCGCCTAGCCTGAAGTTGGCTGATCAGGATGATGCGATGAGGCGGAGCAGGCGGCGGAACGTCGTGCCCATGCATACACCACGCATCCAATGAACACCGAGAGCATACACCATCCCTCCAATGAATACCTGGACACTGTCGCTTATCATCAAAAGTTCGTCCATCGGATGCAGTAGATGCCAGCTTAGGGTCTTAAGGGATGCGATGAGGTGGAGCAGGCGGCGGAACGGCGTCCCCATGCATACACCATCCATCCAATGAACACCTAGAGCATACACCATCCCTCCAATGAATACCTAGACACTGTCGCTTATCATCAAAAGTTCATCCATCAAATGCCGTAGATGCCAGCTTAGGGTCTCAAGGGATGCGTGTTGTTAGCATTACATTAGCACTCTACTCACACATCCCTATATGTTCTCAGGGCATTGCCCGTGCATACTTTTCTTCCGTCGCCATTCGGCAAGCTTTCGCAAACATCATTACCTGCTTCTCCTCTTCAATAGAAGTGTATTCAGTTGTCCTTTAACCCATACCTCCCTTGAGCGGTTCTCGCAACGACTCGAACTTCTCGATTACCTACGTACAGGTTGCCCATGCTAGACGACCAATCACAGCGTCTTCCGTTCTAAGAGCTTCCATAAAAGATACTTTTACCGGCCAGAACATTCGGCGACATCAGTACTGAAAGCTTCATACTTGTCCAGTGGAGTACTGAGCCCTGGATATCTCCGTTCCGGCACTTGGTACCATTCGTCGTCCACACCTATAGAAGAATTCTTCATTGCCACTGTGGTAATCCGAATATTACAATCCCACCCAGCACCTGATTATTAATAGTGAGTCTGCTTCTACATTGTCACTTGTCTCGTTAGGTTGTGGTATTGAATACCACGCGCAAAGCAGCCTTGACTTCGCAACAGCTCTCGACGTGCTGACCTCTCCAGTGACACGATCCTTCAATGCCGCCGATCCCAACCAGCCCTGGTCTAGAGAGGCAATATTCGGCTTGGCTACCATCTTCGTCATGGTGCTGTCTTCGGGTATAGGCTTGACCTATAAATACCGCTCAAAGATGTACTACTTTTGGCAATGTTGCAAATGCGGCAGGACGCTCGTGCACGGTATGTGTTGTATTGTCTATTCACTTGCCATTCATAGCTGATGCTGTACAGACGAAGATCTTGCAGGAACTCGGATGAGATCGACCAATCCCGGCTGGGTTGGTATCGCAGACGTGCGGCGGTATCAGCAAGAAACATATACATCATTCTTGCGGCGGAGAAGAGGGCCCGGGATCTCGCGAGCCTCTAGTCGAGTATACGGAGGGCAGTGGTAATGACTCGGGCCGTGTCGACCTGGTAAATGACAGAGGCGATGGCGATTTGAGTGGCTACATGCAATCATCCATTCTTGAATGTTATGCGAATCGAGTGGCGCCTGGCAGATAGCGCCGACAGGACATCGACGACGGCTTGAGGACGACGAGCGCGAAATTTCGGATTTCCGTGCGAGTCAGGTGTTGCCTTACGAGCTGGAATGTACGCATTAGTAGTAACAGGTGTTGCCTGGCAGATGAAAAACCTCCTCGTCAAGAATCGGCGGAGGACAGGTCCAAATCTTGATACATGATACGCTTGTATAGAGAAGACCCTACCTAGAATCGTTAAGCCTCTCGAACTGCATAGTTTCGATGTTTGATAGGCTATGTATGGGCTAATAGCGTTCCTCCAGATACATCATGCTCACTATCTTCAAAGTCGCTGGTTGGAGGGATTTGACCTTGTTAGTTGTCGGATGTCAGGCAAAGAAGTGGACAGCGCAGCATGAAGGAGGGCCCCGCGGGAACCACCGTTACCGGATATCTCCCCCAATGTACACTACCAAAGTACCCTCGCGAAAAGATCCCTCGGGCTCGAGCGCGAACGACAGAGAAGGGCCCCGCGGGGAGAAGGGTGGGGCCGTTTTAGCGCGCTTGGGGCCGTGCGTTCTGGCTAACCCGATGACGCAGGACAAGTCTTTGCCAACCGCATCACCTCATATCAGTAGCAGAATGAATACTTACACTGTCTGTTACAGTAACACCAAAAGCGAAGGCTGGTTAAAACATTGATGCATGACAGACTCCTAGGAGGTAGATGTTCAAGCTTGCGATATCCAGCTACATACGCTCTACGACAACAAGCAGGCGCGCCTCACGATCCTACTCCATAGCAGCCAACTTTGCCCTCTTAGCCTTCTTCTTGCTCTTCTTACTTTCTGGCGCTACAGGTGCTTTCAATTCCTCCAGCTCGGCCAATGCTCGCTCAGTCCCTTCTTCCGCTTGCGCAACACCATCGGTCTTCGTCTTCTCATCAGTGGAAGCGACTACGGGCTGCTCGACCTGCATCACCGAGTCTGAACGCACGTGAATGGGTGCTTTGATCGTCTCTGGGACTTTGTCACTTGTATTGACTGGTTCCGGCTTTCTGTTACCCATCTGCTGGTACGTTTTTGAGGACTTGAAGTCCAGTTCGTCCGTGAAGGGTTCGAGTGTTGCTGGCTTCTCTACGGGTTCGGCTTCTTCAAGCTTTGGAGCGACTTCTTCAGTGGGCTTCGAATCGATCGCGTCGTTTGCAACTGGTGCTTCATCAACGATATCCTTTGGAGCAGTCTCTGACACCGGTTTCGTTGCCGCTTCTTTTACGTCTTCCACCTTGGGTGGTGCGATTGTAGGGACAGCGTCTTCAACACCAACCGACTCATACATCTCCGGCACGACCTCCGCTGTCGGAGTAGAAGCTTCTTCGTTACTGACAACTGGCGTCGCAGGCGCTCGAGCGTAGTTGCTCATCACAGTCTTCCAAACGAGCTGTAGAAGCCTGCTGTTACCCTCTACCGTCGTAATGAAGTCCGGCTTTCGGAAAGGCTCTGGATCGTCCGCCATCGCATTGTTGAGCGACTGTTCAACATAGCTCGGATACCACAGATCGTCTTCCGGTAGCAAAGGGAACGCGTGGTCTCTCGCTACGGTAAGGATATCGAAGATGCTCATCTCCTCGTCGAGAGACTTGAGCTTGTTTTGAGCTAGCTCAGCAAGACCTGGTAGCTTGTAGCGAGCGGCAGCGCAGTATACACCCGCGCCGAGCTTGTAGACTTCGGGTATGACTTTGTCGGATGATGCCGGAGTGTTGAGGCTTTGGTACTTGCCGGTATACAAGTAGTGCACTAGAGTGTGCGCTGTGTTCAAATCCAGCTCTGGGAGAAGTACGGACTGCTTGACGAAGGCCAATGGATAGGACTTTGTGGCGAGAACCTCGCTACGGCTCAGGACGCTGTCGTGGACGAGGAAGCGGGTTGCTTCTGGCCCGACTTCCAGCGACACCATCTGCGTGGTTGCATAGGGGCTGCAAGACACTATCAGCGCCATACTGAAACTCGGTGGTGATATGTAACTTACGAGACTTCTTCAGGACTGACTGCTAAGTCTCCCGTGCCATACGCGTATCCACCCAAACCGTCATTGTCATGGGACACGTCCAAGGTAGAATTATCGCTAACAGACATATTGTACTAACAGCAAAGGACGCCTGTTGATTCCTGCGAGAATTCAGACAAACCACTTCCCTTTAACCCATCACGACAACTTCTCCCAAAATGAGGCTCAAAACACATGCGCTGTCACTCATTACAAGACGCGGGGTCTGTATGCACTCATGAGTTGTCAGTTCGATGGCATTCTCAGCCTTGTGGCTTCGGTGATCCCGTTGGTCAGCCTGATCGTCCTTTACTGCACCCCGCGAATGCTGCGTCCAATAGACCGTGACGGATCGATGAGCTGAGCAAAACCGGTGAGATCGGGCGCAGATTTATCTGTAATTATCTTTCGGTTGATGCGCTCAGACCCGATGGCTGGATGGGCGCGCTATCGCTGGTAGCCTGCGATCTAGACTGTTCGTCGGTGGCCGCGGTTCAAACGTTCCTCGTGGACCGGGAACTCGTCTGCTAATGTTATCGTAATCGAAGCAGGGCACTATGCGGGTGTCGAGATAGAGGACACAACTGAGGACGAAAGGTGGAGGTGGAGGTCTGATTATCCTTCCTGGAAGGTCAACTTATTGGAAGGAACGAAACGTCGACCCTTGCGAGGTTGTAGTCAGCCGCCACATCTCACCTTCCCTACGCGTGAGGCGCGGGGAAAAAAGAAGATGTCCTGGCGAGGACTAAGAAGGATATTTAGGTACGGAAGGCATTACTATGAACGATAATCGAGATCTAGACATCGCAAGTCGCGTTCTAGATATGATTGACGAAACGGAGGGTGAATTGAGTCCCAGGATAGGAATGAGTCAACACCTCTAGTCGCAGCGGCCGAGCGTGGATACTCGAAGGTTTTGTGTTCTACGGGAGACAATTGCCGTCGTATATGATGCAATTGCAGTCCGCGGACGGACCCTGAGGACGCACAGTAGGAACGCACGGCGTGCCACTTTACCTAGGCTAGCTTAGCGCAACTGTGCCTCAGCCTCCGCCCACAAGTGCACCAACCGCTACCGTACTTAGTTAAGTACGGCTGAACATCATTTGCAATGTTAACCTCAGCTTCCTCAATGTCAGCCGCGTCTGGTATGAATCCACAGAATCAAGCTGCAATGTCGGAAATATACACAGTTCAAACCACGAACTCGACGTCGTCAAGTCACACAAATACGCTGCATCTTCCAACAAGGCTTAGTTTCTGGATACTCAGCGTCGTCAGTGCCTACTGGCTTCTCGTTCGCACTCTCCGGTACAGGCGTCGCGATGGCCTCACTCACCGCTTGAATGTAAAAGCAATACTACCAACACTTCCAATCCCGCCAGGCTGACAAACAACCTAGTACCCCGACCGCTCATCATGGAGTCGCATGACTGTTAAAGATGCGCATTCAGTACACGTTTCTCTTACTGAACTCGAATTCCCAATCATTTTCCACACATCCACATTCTTCGCCCTCTTCAAAACCTATGGCATCCCCAGTATTTCGAAGCTGCTTGTCGCAACAGGACAACTATCTTGCCCGGAAACAGCATCGAAACGAGCTGCTGATACTGCTACTATCATGACCGAGGCAATTATCAACAAACCTGATTCCGAACGCGCCATCAGTGGTATAGCGCGTATGAACTACCTTCATAGTCGGTATATCAAAGCCGGGAAGATATCAAACGACGATATGTTGTATACGCTCAGCCTCTTCGTTCTTGAGCCTATCAGGTGGACTGCCAGATACGAGTGGCGAACTGTGACGGACTTCGAGAGATGTGCCATGGGTGTATACTGGAAGGATATGGGTGAGGCGATGAAGATATCGTACGACACTCTACCTTCTGCGGGCCAAGGATGGCGTGACGGGTTTCACTGGCTGGAAGAGGTAGAAGCGTGGAGTCTGGCATATGAGGCTCAGAACATGGTACCTGCTGAGACAAACGCGACGCTTGGTCGTGGTACTTTCGATGTCGCCTTGTTCAACGTACCTTCCGCTCTGAAACCTCTCAGCTTTACCGTGGCATACATCTTACTCGAGCCGCGCTTGCGGAAAGCGATGAAGTGAGTGGAAGATGGAGCTCTTACTTGATTGACCCATCATGCTGACAATATCCAAGCATACCACAGCCACCTGCGATCTACTACCAAGTTTTAGAAACATTGGTCGAGATTCGCAAGTTCTTGCTCCGAAACTTCTTCCTCCCACGTCCGTACTTTCTACGCCCGGACTGGTTCACAGAGATTGACGAGCGCACTGGCCGGGCCAATGCTGGTCAATATATTGACAGGCCGTGGTACGTCAAGCCGTCGCTTATGAAGAGGTGGGGTCCAAACGCGTTATTACTGCGACTGGTTGGGGGTGTCGTCCCAGGCGACGAACGATATCATCCAAGAGGATATCGGGTCCATGAGCTTGGTCCTTCAGAGCTTGTGGGGAAGGGTGATGCCGAGATGCGGAATACGAGAGATGAGTTGAGAGCGAAAAGAATGGGGTGTGTGTTCTCTCGCTGATGGATCATGTCTGTTGGCCAGACGTGGAGGCGAGTCCTACGGCGATAGATGAGCTCCTACAGCGCCTGCAGGAATCGAAGTAGATGGGAGCTCAGCGACAGAGGTGAATGCGAATGCGTCAGGTGGCGTTAGATTCCATTCGAGGTCCAGGTAAACATCTCTGCCATTGCCCTCCAGGGCGTGTCATTTTGAATCCTGAACACTAATAAGGCAACACTGTAAGGCTGCGGTCAAGCTTAACGAGGAAAGAGTTGTGGACCATATGTGACGCGTATCGCACGCGGTAGAAGATGAAGCGGAAGACATTGGAGAACAAAGAGAGGTGGAGGGGTCCACATCGGAATGGTTCCGCACCCGCGTCCAATGGCGGAACCCCGCGTCCACCCCGCGGTGATACATATGGAGCAGTCGCTCTGTTATACTCCCGTCATTGTCCCAATCTCACTGTGTTGATTCCATCCAAATAAGAAAACAAAATGGCGACCACAAAAGTTGCACTCATCACCGCCAGCTCAGCAGGTCTGGGCGCGCAGATAGCACGCGTATTCGCACCAGACTTCCGCGTAGTATGTATACAAACCTACCGTCACATGTCCAGCATATACCGTGACCAAGAAGAGCAACTAACACACCCAGGTGATAAACTATTCCTCAAACTCCGACCGAGCCGCCACCCTCATGAAAGAGCTCTCCTCAATCCCAGGCCCATCTTCCGAATCCAACCCACGCTTCCACCTCATCCAAGCCGACATGTCCTCCAAGCCCTCCGTCCAAAACCTCGTCCAAGAAACCATCTCAACAATGGGCCGCCTAGACGTCGTCGTCTCAAACGCCGGTTGGACCCGCATGACCACCTTCACGGACATCGAACAGCAGATAAACGACGAAGACTGGGACAAGTGCTTCACCATGAACGTAAAAACACACATGTGGCTCGCCTACGCCGCGAAAGACGCCTTAGCCTCCACCGAAGGCACATTCATCTCCACAGCTAGTGTAGCGGGAGTCAAGCCCAGTGGGAGCAGCGTGCCGTATGCTGTTACGAAAGCAGCGCAGATACATCTTGCGAAGAGCTTGGCTGTTATTCTTGCGCCGAGGATAAGGGTGAATAGTATTAGTCCTGGTATGCTGCTTACGGAATGGGGACTCAAGTTTCCAGAGAAGAAAAGGGAGGCGGCGATTCAGAATACTAAGTTGAAGAGGTTGGCGACGGTGGAGGATTGTGCGGAGCAGGTTAGGGTGTTGGCGCTTAGTAGGAGTATTACGGGGCAGAATATTTCGATTGATGGGGGGTCTTCTGTGTAGGGGAGGGTGTGGTTAGTTGGGCAGGGTTGGACTGGGCATGTTAAAGTGCACAAGGTACATTGCGCTGAGAACTTTCGGGGAGTCTATCTGTGACTGAGGGGAATGTCTTGTTCGTAGAGGAACATGCGTTCTCGGTGTTATGGATGCTTACAGTTTCAGGCTTGGGATTGTCAATTCCGGCGGTATTGTAAGCTGACCGCATAGAGCTTCACTAGGAAAACCATATGCATGGCCGGTTAGAACAACGACTGTCTATTCTTGACGTTCTCATCTCTGCAGTGTTGCACAGAAACGGTGTCGCACAGAGCGGTGGAACAATCGTGAGCCTCGCATGTAGCATGTGTTACGTCGACACTCATTCGACTTGTGTGCGACGTATACGTTGTGCACTGTGTATATCTTCGGCGTGTTTGCTGTCGCTAGTCTGACGGATGAGGTTTGAGTAACCGCAAGCTTACTTCCGTTGCACAAGTCCCTAGAGGACGCTGAATAGGACGTGAGGTGTGCTCTGAAAACAGTTTTGAGCCATGTAAGATTTGCGACTGTTCCCAGCCATGCTCAGGTACGAAGCGAATCGACCGATCCGTGGATCTCGAATGAACTAATTGTGACAGCATCGGTGGCGCACTCGCTGCGCCGTCTGCCACAGGTCGCCGTATCTAGTCGAACTCCTGTCCCGCCAACAGTATTGCCCAGCATGGTAGTGAAGAGGCACACGTCAATGAAGGAACAGAAAGAGTAGCCAAGCTGACTCGCTCTTACACCAAGCAGGACATCCACTATAGAGTCAGCAAGACAAGCCCGTCGGAGAATTGATAGGGCGCGATGCACCAATGATCCGCTCCTAGGTTACTCCAAACGCGTAGTCAGGGCTCCGGCTTCGGAGCGCAACCATTGGCCCGGCGGGTTTTCGCATCCTACGAAACGTGCTTGAATTGCACAACATACGATACGTCGAGATAAACAAGTACAATCCCACCCGTCAATAAAGATCGCGCGGAATGCCAATCAAGGATGCGAAATATGTGGAAAGTGGCTGGTCGCGTGCGAGCCAACGATGCTGCTGTGTCCAATTCCAGTTTCCCCACGCCAGACGTGTGCCACAGTATCGACCTCTCCACGAGCCCACCACGGCGGCCTTGAGACCCACCGCCTCGCTTCTGGGGACACTCACATGCTTTCGCGACAGTTTGCCGCCAAGGGTTGCCGGACGGGTACGGGAGGCTGACATGCAGCTGAGCCCTACTGCATGCCACGCCGCACGGGTCGTGGTGCAAAAGAACACAACGGCTCCAGCTGGTCAGGCCAGTTGATGTTGTTTCGTGTCAGCGCGTAGATGCAAAGAAAGACGAAGGTTTGATTACTTCTGAGATGCCTCCCACTCTCAGAGTAAGCTGCTGGCAGGCGTATCCAGGTCGAGCTCGCCTCAGAGTATGCGGACACGGCCATCGGGAACCAGGGTCTCACAATCTTCGCGCTCCGGCATGTTGCCTGGCTCGTTGGAAATAACTCTGAGCTGGTTCGAAAATAGTCCCAGTTTGGGCGTTTGACGAGGTTAGCTGCTGCCCTTGTGGAGACTCGTTACTGGATGCGGTAAGATACGGTACGACAGTGGCTGCGGTCAATTGAAGAACCACAGACGATGGCCGGTCGGACGGGTGTCTCGATCTGCTCAACCACAGCCGGATTTTGCACGCCGCGGGCCTTCTGCAGGGCGTGCGCTCAGTAGCGCCGTGTCGCAACGGCAAGACCAAAAAACCCAAAAGATTGGGTGTCGAATCGTCGTTGGGCGCCCGATGTTCGCCCGACTGCGGTGCCTCGATGTCGCGAGACCTGGGGTGAGATGCACTAGACACGAGGAGGATGCGAGCAAACCGCCGTGGTCGTCTTATCGCACACAACGTACGTGAATCGCATAAACACATGGCCAGGGACGGGGTGGCGTTGGTGAGAACGCGTCGCGACGGCCGGCGAAGATGCGGCACCAAACCGGCTAGCGCGTTCGATCTTCGAGGCGGCAGCTGATTGGGCAACGCGGTTCTCTTATCTCTGGCCAGAAATGCAATTGACACACGCAACCTGGACCACCCACTCGCCAAGCCTTCCGCCCCGGATGAAACTGGCGTTGCCTGCAATCGTTATGCGAATTCGTGTTGAGCCCGTGGTGAGAGGCGCCGCGCGAGGCCTGTCCTTACAAGCTGACGCGACGTGGCCGCCGGTGTGGGTGGGCGTTGCGCCTTATCACGTCTACTTCGCCGTCACATGTTTGCAGAGCAGCGAGCCGGCGAGATAAGGCGTTAGATCGTTAGAGACAGCAATGACGCAGCTCCGATCAATCGCGGCAGAAAAAGAACAAAGCTCCATGGCTGGATCTAACGCGAACCCCACGACGGTCGCGGCTGTGGGTGATGTACCCTCGTCTATTTTGCCTCGAGTGATGGCCCGTGGACCAGGATAGATAAGAGTAGTACAGCAAGTTCCACCCATAAAGGTCCCGGCGCATCTACCGTAATCTACAGTAGGGCTTCCGGAATCTCCCTGTAGCAGCTTATATTACTGGCACCGATCCAGCTTTTGATCCCTTCTCTTTTCTTCCACAGGCCCTACCGTGGAACCGTCCTCCCTTTCCCCATAGTACTTAAGGACCCCAGATCTCCTTAGTACCCCGACAATCCCCTAGGACTTCCCTCACCATGTCGTACTCGTGGGTCGGCCCTCCGGCACAGTTCAATGGCACCGATGATATCACTGGTGGTGACTCTGGTGAGTACAAGCCCCAAAGTACCATTGCGCACGTGCCGAGCGCAACATCCGCATCGTGTGCGACAGAAGGCTAACATGAACATCAGTCACCGAGAACTTGAACCAATGGTTCTCTGCAGGTGACCAGGCCTACATCCTCGTGGCTTCGGCCATGGTGATGATCATGGTTCCTGGTCTCGCATTCCTCTACTCCGGTCTTGCTCGCAGAAAGTCCGCCCTCTCCCTCATCTGGGCCTGCATGTTCTCCGCCTCCGTCATTACCTTCCAATGGTACTTCTGGGGATACTCGCTCGCTTTCGGACCCTCAACGAACGGTTTCATCGGAAACCTCGACAAGTTCGGTCTCAAGGGCGTTCTGGCTCATCCCAGCCCCGGTAGTCCTTTGATCCCAGAGTTGCTGTACTCCTTCTACCAGGTACGAAAACCATTACTATGAACCGGTTTCGACGAACTAACACAATCCAGATGCAATTTTGCGCTGTCACTGCTGCCATCGTCGTCGGTTGCGTTGCTGAGCGCGGTCGCTTAATCCCCATGATGGTCTTCATCTGGCTCTGGGCCACGATCGTATACTGCCCCGTCGCATACTGGGCCTGGAACGCAAACGGCTGGTTCTTCGCATGGGGTGGACTTGACTACGCTGGTGGTGGTCCCGTCGAGATTGTCTCCGGTTGCACAGCTCTCGCCTACTCCATGATCCTCGGACGTCGCCAGGAGAAGATGATGCTCAACTTCCGCCCTCACAACGTCTCCTTGATCACCCTCGGAACCGTCTTCCTGTGGTTCGGCTGGTTGGGCTTCAACGGTGGTTCCGCTTTCGGCGCCAACCTCCGTGCTGTCATGGCATGCTGGAACAGCAACCTTACCGCCATGTTCGCCGCCATGACTTGGGTTCTCCTCGATTGGCGCCTTGCTCGCAAGTGGTCCATGGTCGGATGGTGCTCAGGTGTCATCTCCGGACTTGTCGCTGCTACTCCCGCTTCTGGTTTCTTGCCTCCATGGGCCAGCGTCATCCTCGGTATTACCACCGGTATTGTTGCTAACTTTGCCACCAAGAGTATGTACCCCTCTGGAAAACCTTTCATGAACAGCTCGCTAACACCTATCTAGTCAAGTTCTGGATCAAGATCGACGATTCTCTCGATGTGTTCGCTGAGCACGGCGTCGCTGGAATGTGGGGTCTTTTCTTCAACGGAATCTTCGGTGCCGACTACATCATCGGACTCGACGGAGTCAACAACGGCCTTACCGCTGGTGCCATCACCGGCGAGCCCGCCGCGATCTACAAGCAAATCGCCTACATCGTCGCCGTAACCGCCTACTCCTTCGTCGTCAGCGCCATCCTCGCCTTCGTCATCGACAAGATCCCCGGCCTCAAGCTGCGCGCATCTGAAGAAGCCGAGCTCCTCGGTATGGACGACGACCAGCTCGGCGAGTTCGCCTACGACTACGTCGAGGTCCGCCGTGACTACCTCGCATGGACTCCTGCTAAGGGCGAGCCCATCGACGGCGAGCACTCTGTACCCCAAGGCGAGCGCCACGGCATCCCCCAGCACAGCCAGATGCTCGAGGGCAAGGCACCATCGGAACACAGCTCAGGCCACGAGCACACGGGCATTGCGGGCGACAGGCACGCGATGGCCATGGGCTCCGAGCACGAGAAGCATGTTCAAACCTAAGGGCTTTTCTCTTTGCTGCTGCGCATTGCTGATTTGGATTTGTTGCTTGCGACTTTTTTGAGTCATTACCCGTTTCGAGATACCACCTTGCGCTGCTCCTCCTGCGTCTTTGAGCTGTGCTTTTTGACACATACATTTAGATGGTTGTATTACAGTTTTTTTCTTTTCCTCATGTATTGTACATCATTCGAGAATGGATACATCAAACATCATTATCGCTCCCATCTGGCAATTCCCCATGTGTATTCCAAATCACTTCAAACTCGCCCATAACCTATATCAACACATTCCACATCACCGACACGCGCCCAGCCTTTCTTATCATGCTAAGCACGATCGACTCCCCCATTCGACGAATAGAATTGACTACACAACGACGCCAAGCCTACTCTCCTCACTTCCTTATCTTTTCCCGCTCCTCCAGACTGTGAACCCCAGATTTACGCAAGCAAGATGATGTCAGTCCACCAACGCTACCACCGAAGTGAGCTTGACATCTGCACGATGCAAGAACGACGCAGCCTTTTACCGTAGATATCGAAGATGTGTATCTCTATCGCGCATTATGATATCGATGTGCTTCGATGTGGTAGCGATGGCTTATCTCAACTCCCAGCGGCGTATGAAAGAGGAGTGTTGGCTATGCGCTACGTACATTATCTGCATATGCGGTTCGACTGATTTGACTGGTTGTTGTATGCGCAGCCTATTTCCAAGCCAAGACTATTGGATTTCATTTGATCCAGTGGTCTCGATCGCGATCGCAAGTGTTGGGATGGAAAGCGGGAACTACCATACCTCGCCGATCTGGAAACTGCGCCGTTGGACAACCTTATCTCAGGGTGTGCGTGTGGGCATGGGTGTACCGGTGAGGCGGGTGCGTGTGGGGGAGGCTGTGCAGTGGACAACCACTACTACTCACGTGCAAAGCTTCGATCAATAGTCGAAAGTTGAACGTTGATCTCGCATCGTGATGATGTGTGACGGAATTAGACATGAGGTGTGATGTCATTGGATGGGGGTTAAGGAGTTGGAACACGCTAAGAAATGATGGCACGCAAGCACACGTGAACAAAGCGAAGAAGTGTTCGTGATCGAGACGCCAGATGTTAGAGGCGAATAGGTAGGACAAAGAATTCGGCTCGGGATCTTGCACAAGACCACTCCCGCGTAGGGCTTGGCCACGATGACAAAGACCGCTGTTGAACGCAGCTTGTGTTAACGCTCGTAACAACGCCTCGTGGGAAATGCTCAAAGAAGTAGTGCAGCTCAGGAGGCGACGGAGGCTGATGTTAGGGATGTCTGTAGAAAGGGTAAGTTTTTGTTGACGGTGAGATCGCAAAGTCGAGTTGTACGGATTGCAACCAACTCTCCCTTTTGGTGCACAAAATTGAACCAAGAGCTTCAGAATGCCCAGAAGAAAAGCAAAAGACTCTCTCCAAATCTTCGCAACACCTTTAAATCCTCATTTCTCTCCATCCCACCCTCTCCATTCTCGCCGCGAACACCTCTCACACCTCCCCTTCCCTTCCGCCAGCAAGCCCACAGACCAACTCCACAAACCTCTCCCGGTTACCCAACACCCGAAGATGACGCACCATCAAGCCCCTTAGCATGGATGTGGAAATGCCACCAATGCCACCATAACTACCGTCTCGGCGTAACGCGCCGCTGTCTCGAAGACGGCCACTATTTCTGCAGCGGCAGCACTACCCTCAAGTCCTGGCGGAAGTCAAGTAATAAAAGGAAACAACGGAACCATCGTGCTTGTCCGAGTGAGTTCGACTATGAAGGCTGGAAAACGATCGGGCCGTGGCGGAGAGGCGGACCGAAACACAGTAGCAGACCATACACAGTTCCAACCACCAACAACTCGAATAAAGTGGCAGTGGCAGAGAAGCAGCAAGACTGCTGGAACACATGCGACTACCCCTCCGAATGCCGCTGGGGCAAGAAGTTCGGCATACACACACCCGTCGACTCTGTCTTCCCCTCCGTCTTCCCCAGTAACGAAAGCGCCAACAACAACAACAGTATGCCTACACTGACTGCTCCTATCATCATCAACTCCATCAACACGCTGCCTGAGGGTATCCTCAAACCAGGGGACTGTAGTGAGACTAATGAGACTATTGCGAGGAAGAAAGATGTCAAGACGAATCTTTGGACTGCGTTAAGAGCTAGTGCGGAAAGGAGGAAAGGTGCTGGGGATAGGGGTGGGAGTCCGCTGAAGGGTTTTGGGGAGAGGGGGGAGGGAGATGGAGAAGGGGAAGGGGGTGGAGATGTAGGGAGAGTGATGAGGGATGGGGATGGGGATGGGGATGTTGTTATGGGGAGTTTTGATCCTGTGATTCTGGATGATGCGAGTGTTTCGCCCTCATCTTCGTCGTCGCAAGCCGAATCCTCGTCTTCTTCTTCGTCAGCGGTGGATTCACTCAAGACGTTGGTTAGTAGAAGGCGGTATCGACGCGTGAAATCGAGGTCTAGAATGAATGGCTCGGTTGATAAGAGATATGCTGAGACGGGGCATGTGGCGATGTGGAATGTGGAGGAGAGGATGGAGGATCAGGTTAGGCTGGATGATGAGGATATGATGGTGGAGGGGTTTGCGCCGTTGTGTCGGGTTAGGAGTCGGGGTTGTTCTGTGTGAAATGGGGTTTTGCTGATTAGTTGGCCTTCTTTAATTCATAATTACATGTCTTGATCATAAAAGCAGGATCAGCAGCGCTACGCACTTCCAAAGGAAAACATGGGAAAGCCCAACGTGAGGATTTCCTGCGGCTAAAAGTGGCACTTCCGTCCCAGGTCCGCCAGTGCCAGCGCCCACGTTCCTGCAGGGATGCGCCTGTGCCTGACCGTCGACGCTCGGGCCATGTCCCTTCACGGGAAGTCGCGCCCTGAACGCCGCCGCGCCGTCATTGCTACTTCTTCACTTCTCTCTCACAGCGCGCTGAGCCTGATACCCCGAGGCACATTGTGAACATGGTGCTCTCGTTCATTCTCATTCAGAATAGGCAGTAAGTTGGGATGTTCGTGCAGAGGAGGGTTGGGGAGGTCATGTAGCATGGAGGCTGATCGACGGTAGAGGGAAGACAAGATTGGCGAAGTGGTATGCGCCGTACAGTGTGAGTTGAGATGTCAAGTATATTAAGAGACGATATAGTAGCTAATTATAAAACAGGATGAAGAGAAAGTCAAGTTAAAGGGCGAGGTATGCGATACCCTCCTTCCCTCCCACCCATCCACCACGCCTCCTCAAGCCGCCCTCGAACCCTTCGCATAGCGAGTCCCGAAATGAGACTAAGAACGAATTCAGGTCCACCGCCTCATCGCCCCACGCGACCAAAAGCACCAATCCAACTTCGTCGAGTTCCGCAACATGTCCAAGATCGTGTACCGCCGCTACGCCGGCCTCTTCTTCTGCGCCTGCGTCGACACAAACGACAACGAGCTCGCCTATCTCGAGGCCATACACTTCTTCGTCGAGGTGCTAGATGCCTTCTTTGGGAACGTGTGTGAGCTGGATTTGGTGTTTAACTTCTACAAGGTGTATGCGATACTGGATGAGGTGTTTTTGGCGGGTGAGATTGAGGAGACGAGTAAACAGGTCGTGCTGACGAGGTTGGCGCATTTGGATAAGCTGGAGTAGATGGATGATGGGTGGGGATATACTGTATAATGGGGTGGAGCTGGGGCTGCTTCGCCTGGCGCTTCGGCTCAAATAAGAGGAATGAGGTAGTAACCATGCGCTGCAGAGGGCACATGAGGGAGTCGCGTGTATAGCCGCGCTGAGGGGTCTTGCGCGAGCATTTGAAGAGCCCACATCTCAATGGTGGGCTGGCATGCTTCGAGGCTGATTCGGTACCAAAATCTGGCCGGAAGGAACAGCAGAGATAATCGCTTGCATGTCTTAGCGATCCCTGCAAAGACATCGTTCACGCAAATCTGTCCTGCTTCTACATTCGGTGACATGCAAGTGAATGGAGCTTGTCGTTCTTGCATGTGAGGGAGCGCACGGACGCGCTCTTATGATGGAAGCAGAGGTCTAGAAAATAGCCACATCATCAACCTTGGTTCTTCGCGATCTGTCCCTTCGCCTGTGCCCAAATCCCCCCAGCATGCTCGCCCCATGATATGAACATCTCTAAGACCATTCCGCGCCCCGTTGTTCCTCCGCCACACGCCTGACCCGCCTCGAATCGTCCCGTCCGTCGAATCCACCGCAACATCCCCGCGCCGCGACCATGTCTGACTTCGCCGCATACCACGCCCTCGGCACTGGCTCGCCAAACCCGAACGGAACCGGCAGACCAGACGAGCCCAACAAATGGCGTCCACCAGTCGCTGCGGGCCCTCCTGGCTACCAACAGACGGGCAGCCCGGCCATGGCCCAGCCTCCGAATCAGTACGCCGGCACACCAGCGCAATATGGCACGCCAGTCCAGCAAGAAGGTTATTTCCCCGACCAGTCGGCGCTGCAGGGTCAGCCTCAGTACCAGGGCGATCAAGACGTGAACAACCTCGCGGGGCAGATGGGAGCAGTTGGGTTGGGTATGGATCAGGCGGCACAACCCAAGCACAAGAAGAAGAACAGACATGCATATCATAATATCGAGGGACCTGGAGGGAGTTCACCGGCGTTCAACGGAGCGCCGCAGAATGGCACACCTACACAATACCAAAACTCGCCTCAAGTCGGAGGAGCGCAATGGATGGAGCCTCAGATCACTCCCGCCATGAGCCAGTTTCCCGCACCCGTAAATCCTATCTTCAGTCCTGGATCGCAGGCTTCGCCTATGCAGTACGCTGCGAGAACACCAGCAGCACCACATCAGAGTGGAGGAGCGGCGGTTGGATCAGCTCAAGGACGTGTAGATCCCGAGCAAATTCCCAGCATACCGAAGTCGCGCGATGCGCCGGCGAAGTACTACCTAGAGAACGTATACCCGACTATGGAGCACCACCTACCTCCTCCCGCCACGGTCCCCTTTGTAGCCTTTGACCAGGGCAACTCCTCACCTAAGTTCGCACGTTTGACTATGAACAACATTCCACTCACTGCGCAAGCCCTTGCTGCGACTTCGTTACCGCTTGGTATGGTCTTGCAGCCGCTGGCTGCTCAACAAGAAGGCGAGCAAGCTATACCCGTATTGGACTTTGGCGAGTCTGGTCCACCAAGATGTGCAAGGTGTCGTGCGTACATCAATCCGTTTATGCAGTTCAAGGCTGGCGGAAACAAGGTCGTGTGTAACCTGTGTACATACCCGGGCGACGTCCCCGGTGAATACTTTGCGCCCACTGATCAGTCTGGCGTCCGCATAGACAGACTACAACGGCCGGAGCTCACACTAGGTACTGTCGACTTTCTCGTACCCAAGGAATACTGGTCGAAAGAGCCTGTCGGTCTACGGTGGTTGTTCCTCGTCGATGTGACCGCCGAGGCTGTAAATCGTGGTTTCCTCCATGGCTTTTGTGAAGGCATCATGAAAGCGCTCTATGGCGAAGAAACAGAGACAGAGGGCGTTGAGACTACGACTCGGATACCAAAGGGTGCCAAAGTTGGCATCGTCACATACGACAAGGAGATGCACTTTTACAACCTCAACGCCAGCTTGACGAGCGCTCAAATGCTCGTCATGTCTGACCTCGAAGATCCCTTCCTACCCTTCAGCGAAGGCTTGTTCGTCGACCCCGTGGAGTGCAAGAGCGTCATCACATCACTTCTCGCACAGCTACCGACCATGTTCTCTGAAGTCAAGAATCCAGAGCCAGCGTTATTACCTTGCTTAAACTCTGCCGTGGCAGCATTGTCGGCTACAGGCGGAAAGATTGTGTGCTCTTTGGCTGCGCTTCCGACTTGGGGTCCTGGTCGGCTGATGCTACGTGAGGACAACAATGTACATAACACCGATGCTGAGAAGAAGCTTCTTCAGACTGAGCATCCTGGGTTCAAGAAGGTTGCTGAGAAGATGGTGCAGAATGGTATTGGTGTGGACTTTTTCCTTGCTGCGCCCAGTGGAGGGTACCTCGACATTGCGACCATCGGCCACGTCTCCGCTGTAACAGGTGGAGAAGTCTTCTACTACCCCAACTTCCATGCGCCAAGGGATATCCTGAAATTATCCAAGGAGATTCAGCACACAGTCACGCGAGAAACCGGATATCAAGCGCTGATGAAGGTTCGCTGCTCAAATGGCCTGCAGGTCTCTGCCTACCACGGAAACTTCTACCATCACACTTTTGGCGCCGATCTAGAGTTCGGAGTCATTGACGCCGACAAGGCTATTGGTGTCATGTTCAGCTACGATGGCAAACTGGATCCGAAGCTTGATGCTCACTTCCAGAGTGCGCTACTATACACGGCTGCTAACGGTGAGCGGCGAGTGCGGTGCACGAACATCGTGGCCAGCGTTAGCCCGAATACTGGTGAATGCATGAAGTTTGTCGATCAGGATGCCGTCGTAAACATCATCGCCAAGGAAGCTGCTGCTCGCATGACAGAGAAGAACCTCAAGGAGATTAGGGGAGCCTTGACGGAGAAGACTGTCGATATTCTTGCTGGCTACAGGAAGAACTTCACTGGCAACAATCCTCCTGGTCAGCTTGTACTACCGGAGAACCTCAAGGAGTTCGGCATGTACATTCTCGGACTGATCAAGTCAAGAGCCTTCAAGGGCGGTAAAGAGCCCACCGACCGAAGAGTCCACGACATGCGCATGATCAAGTCGATGGGCCCACTGGAGATGTCGCTATACCTCTACCCCCGCATCATCGCAATCCACAACCTCGACGCGCGCGACGGTTTCGCAAACGAAAAGGGCCATCTCGTAATGCCAGAAAACATCCGCGCCTCCTTCTCCAAAGTCGAAGAAGGCGGCGCCTACATCGTCGACAACGGCCAAGTCTGCCTCTTATGGCTGCACACCCAAGTCTCACCCAACCTCCTCGAAGACCTCTTCGGCGAAGGCAACAACAGTCTAAAAGCGCTCGATCCCTTCCAATCTACCCTCCCCGTCCTCGAAACCCATCTCAACGCCCAAGTCAGGAATATACTGCAGTATCTGGAGGGTACGAGGGCGTCCAAGGCGCTTACTATTCAGCTTGCGAGACAAGGGCTGGATGGCGCGGAATACGAGTTCGCGAGGTTGTTGTATGAGGATCGGAATAATGAGGCGCAGAGTTATGTGGATTGGCTTGTGCATGTGCATAGGCATATTCAGTTAGAGGTACTTGGCATCTGATGGTGTTACTTCGGAACGCGAATGCTGACTTTGAATAGCTTGCTGGACAGCGCAAGAAAGAGGACTCGGGTGATGGTGTTGGCTCGACTTTTGTTGGCCTGCGGACACCGTACTGGGGGTAGAATTGTAGAGAGAGCAGCGACTTTGATGGATGAAGTTTGTATTGCATAGCGATAGCGGGGAGGGTTGGCGAAGTATTCTTACACAGAGGGACGAAACCCACGTATTCAATTCAATACTCAACATTCCTCACCATCCTCCATCTACTATGCGCACTTTGATGTTCTCGCTCCACTCCAACCCACATCCGATTACGCACCGCCGTGACGCTTCAACAGGGATCACGCACGTGACACCCACTAGCGCACCTCGCTTAGCTTTTCCGCTCAACGAAGAAAATCGCCAGCGCCAGCCTTCCATTGAACTTTCGCTCGACAACTAACCCACAGCATCACGACGCAAAGATGCCTACCCGCCTAACCAAGACCCGCAAGCACCGCGGTCACGTCTCCGCCGTAAGTTATCACCCCGCGAAGCCCTTTTGTATAGTGCTAACTCGGCATCCAGGGTCACGGACGTGTCGGAAAGCACAGGAAGCATCCCGGTGGTCGTGGTATGGCTGGTGGTCAACATCACCACCAGACCAACATCGACAAGTACCATCCTGGTTACTTCGGAAAGGGTAAGTTATGAGTGTGTACGAAGTGCATGTGAGACATATACTGACTTCGTCTGCAGTCGGTATGAGGTACTTCCACAAGATGCAGAACCTCTCCTGGAAGCCCGTCATCAACCTCGACAAGCTCTGGTCGCTCATCCCCGCCGAGAAGCGCGCTGAGTACCTCGCCAACAAGTCTGGCAACGCCCCCGTCCTCAACCTCCTCGACTACGGCTACTCCAAGGTCCTCGGAAAGGGTCGTCTCCCCGCTGTCCCCATCGTCGTCCGCGCCCGCTACGTCTCCGCTGAGGCTGAGAAGAAGATCAAGGAGGCTGGTGGTGTCGTTCAGCTCGTCGCATAAGCGCCAGAACGATACGATACGATACGATCAACCATCACTCACACAACACGATTGTGCATGAAACGGCGTCTCGGAATGATACAAAAGGATACCATAACGGCAATGATTGGGATGGATCTTCAAGTCCGCAGTTACCCTACAAACGGGTCTGCGTTGACTTGCGTCAGCGTGGTGGCTGAGGAATGTTTCATAGACAATATGACCGTTCCTGAACAAACCTTTGGCCTTTGGCTGTCCCGTTCACGCCATGCGTGGATCGTGGCTCGGCATCGCTATGCTATCGCATGGCTGCTTCCGTGATGTCGTGATATTATGGCGCTGCGTGCTGTGAGGTGAAGTCTCTGCGATACTAACCTGATTCTGAGTATAGTAAACCCTGTTCCTTCTCGGTATGAACGTCTGTCGTCCAAGCAGAGCATTCCGCGCTTCAAGCGCTTGCGTCGATTCAATTACATCGACTAGAAAAATTTGTCGCATTGAATATGCGCCTGTGATTGTGACCTTTGCCTGCTATGCTTCCGATCAGTTACTCAACAGTCGCTCAGGGCCATTCGGGCGTGCTCAGCATTCTACCTTATTCGAAAATTAAGCTATTGCTCACAACATCGTTACCGTTTCACTCTCTTTCGTATCTGGACTCGCTCGTAACGAGCACTTGACGCTGCGCTGCCACCACGCCAACACAGCATCTGCGTACGTCCTTCGCAAACTAGAGATTTTCACCCGCTTCGATCCGTACATGCGTAGCTTCCATTGTAAACGCGCTGCATGGGAATGGGAGCGCATTGCTGAAAATTATGGCTAAGCTGCCGCTGGACGCATGCGTTGAGTGCTGTGTGTATGAGAATGCATTCCTCGTTGCACTGCACAAACATCTCCATGCCCATGAACATGGTCGAACGCCCTCAGCAGACCGCACAAATGCGCAATGGCAGCACAAACAACCAAGCAATGCATAATCTGGTGACTCGAACCCCAGACATCAAACCGGTTTGGATACCACTTCTCCGGGATCTGTATGTAGTCAGTTCCCCATTCCTTTCTTTCCACATAGAATATTTCTTCCGGCTCATCAACATACCCTCAGAGCATATACCACACCCCCAGTAAGATTGCACACCGCCATCACCACCATCCAATCCAAACTCATCCTCCCCATCTGCGTCTCCACACCAAACTGCAGTAAACCATGCACAACAGGAACGACAAACGAGAGACCAAGACCCGCATACATGGCCGCGCGGTACGGACGATATTCCGGGCGACGGAACGCTGGGTGGAGCGTTGCGTAGATACAAGCTCCTGCTAAGATGGAGGCGAGAGTGTAGTATGTTGTTTGTAGGTGGGGTGTACAGTAGAAACCGTAGTATACACTTGGGATGGTGGAACCCCACATTAGGAGTACTATGCCGAGCTAGATTACTCAGTTGGCTGGGGTGAAATTGGGGTGGGTGGGGGTGGGTTACGTACGTAGTCGAGCTGGTTACCGAAGATGTGGACGGTTTTGCTGTGGTTGGCGATGATGTGGAAACTTGTTCTTGTGTGTTAGTCACTTCCTAAGTAAGTCAAGTAATTAGTAAGTCAATGTGTGACACAAAACTTACGTTGCAGACAGTGCAAAGCAAATGCCGACACCGAGAAAGAAGGTTGCGTAGACTATGATGTCGGCTGTGGTTACTGTGGTATATCTTGGCTGCGCCAGAAAATAACATACGGGGATGGGGAGAGTGAAGAAGGATATTGAGCCGATGAGATGCGAGAATATGTTTGCTGGAGAGAGTGGTCAGTTTGTCTTTTGTAGTTATTGTACTGTGTGATGCCTTACCTGTTTCGTTGTGGATACTGAGGATGCTGCGCAGGGACTGCGCGTAGGAGTTTGAGACGGCTCTGTATATCTCTTTGTTTAGAAGCCGGTATCATTAAGCGGGTTACAGACAAGACTGTTACCTGTAGCCTGATAGAATATACTCGTTGTCTCTAACCCTCGTAAGCGGCACGTTGACGATGAATCAATATACGGTAGATGTACTGGTACCAACTCGCTACAATGTCGATCAGCTATAGAAACATCATGAGATCTAACATCTTACGTATATCATTCCACTTCAATAAGGAGACTCGTTGCTCTTTTGCTGCTAGGTCACGAGGCGTGGCCTTGCGGCTATTAGCCTTGATGTCCACATATGTGGTAAATACATGCGTACCTGGTTTTGAGCTGGCGAACTGACCCGGGCTGCCGGGAGTCGAGAACGAAGACTCATTCTGGGGTTGATGTTCTCCTCGAAGTGAAAAGTTGTGGTTGGGTGGAAGGTAGAAGTACATGCGGCACAGTAGATGTGCATGTGACTCAGTGCAAGGGCCATTTCTTCTTTGACTCAAACTCGACACGGCCCTTATTACTACTTCGATATCACGTAAATATGGAAGGGGATCTGCGAACCACTTCTTTTATCTCGTCTATCCTCTAGCTTGATAACCTAGTGTTTGCAGGAGTAGTGATAAACGTAGTACTAACAACTTGGCTATCGCTCATCCAGCCTCTGTCACATCTCTCCCACCTTCCTCGTCACTATTATATCGGAGTAGAGATTCACCCTTCTGCTCTTCTCCACCCGCCGCTAACTCCTCAGTGCCATCTTGCTGATTCACAACAACATTATTCGCACTACCACCACCCTTACCATCCTCACCACCATCAACCCCAACCCCAACCTCGTTACTTCCCTCCAATCCCTCTCCCTGCACAACCACGTTAGTAACCCGCAGCACACCCCTCCCACCACCATGTCCCTCCGGTACCCGATAACTCCTCGGCAGCGTCAGATTACTCGAGTGCGAAGTTATCGTGCGAATCCGCCGAGTACCACGCTCATTAACTTGGCGTTGAGTACGGAAGTGTCGTGTAAGAGTTTCGTGGGGGGAAACACTGGCCTGGGGTGATGAGGTCGAGAATCCAGCGGGTAATTCATCTGCTCGTTGGATAGCTGGTGCGTTCGTGTTGGCATTGTGGGGTGCTGTATATCCATGCTTCGCAGGCGTGCTAGCCACCTCCCCTTGATCCCGTTCAACCGCCATCATCAGATCCCGTATCTCCTTTGCTGCATCCTGTTGCAGAGGTAAATCTTCAAGTTGCGTTTGCCGTAACCGGTCGCTGAGACTTGAACCTGAGTGCTCTTGTCTAGGCCCACGCTGAACCTCTTCCCCTCTCTCTCCACCTGAAGACCCTGTCTCCGAAGATACAGAAACAGGCAAAGGAGTCATCACCCTAACACTCCCCGGCGCCCTCTGAATCATCTGCGAAAGCCCAACTGGCGGACCAATAACACTCTGCGTCCGGCTTTCTAGGTTTGGGACAAGAGAAGGTGGATTGGGTTGCGTGCTGTCTTTTCTCCTCTTTGCTTTGGGTTTGGGGACCAGTACGGGGACTTCTGTGGGGTTGTTGTTGTTGTTGTTGTTGTTGTTGTTGTTGATGTCTTCGATGTGTTGGGTACGCGGCGCAGATGGTTCGGCAAGTCGGAGGGCCATGAGGCGTTCTCGGAGTTTTGCTTCTTCTTCTCTTTTTTGGGTTCGGTTTATTTTGTGGGAGAGGTAGGCTAGGCTGTATTTCTTTGGGGCTGTGGGTATGGCGGGGGTGGTGGGTGCGTTTGTGTTGGTTGGATTGGGGGTGGTGGTGGTGTGTAGTGGTGTGACGGTTCCGGGTCGACAGGTAAAGGTGCTTAGGAGCCGGTTCATCATGTTCTTACTCCTCGCGTCGGTTTCTCCAGCGGAAGTCCTCATACCGAACTCCTCCTCGTCCTCTCCCTCTGCCATCCTTCTCTCTTCACCACTCAAAGCGTCCAAATACCGCCGCCGAACCTCATCCTCCCGTTCTCCGCCCTCACCTCCACCACCCTCATAACTCTCCCCCACAGACCCAAACACCCTCTCAGGATCATACTGCACAGGCGAAGACACCGTCCGTCTCCTGCCCCTCCCTTCACCCCTCCTCCTCAAATTGCGCTCACTCTCCGTATGATACCCCTCAAGCCCAAGCCAATACTCCCTCATCCCTTCTTCGTCCATACCGTGATAGGGATGATTAGGCGCATACGTATACCCCCCTTCTACACCATCATCATCATTGTTGTATCCATCGTTCCTTTCTTGTCGTTGCTCAATCCGATAACTCAGGCTCGACGCCGTCCCCTCCGCAGAAATCAAATGCCTACTCGCATTAAACGGACTAATAGGACTTATCGTTCTATCACTCGGATAAATCGGGAAGCGAGCGTGTGGTGTAGGCGGTGTTACGGCGCGGTAGTATGGGGATGGGGATTGTGTGGGTCGAGGTGGTGGTGGTGGTGGAGGGGGCTGGGAGAAGGAGGTTGGTGAGGGCGGTGCGTCTTCTGGGTAGGGGTTCGATGGTATCGATAGTGCCGGTGATGGAATCGATAGTCCCGGTGAGGAGTTTGGGTGTATGATTAGGTTGGGAGGGGAGGGGAAGGGCGGGGGAGGTGTGGTTCGCGCGGGTTGCCGGGTTAGGGGCAGGAGGAAGTCGTCTTCGGGGTAGGGGTTTGAGGGGAGGGAGAGGGAGTCTTCGTTTCCTTGGCTGCCGGGATAGGGTGGTTCTTCGTCTTCGTTTTCTTCGTCTTGGGCAGCAGGCTGGGATGGCTCTTCGTCTGGCGGTTCTTCGTTCTGCGCTTCTTCGTCATGCGCTTCTTCGTCTTGCGCTTCTTCGTCTCGCACTTCTTCATCTTGCGCTTCTCCACCTGGTCCATCTCCATTCCACTCCTCAGCCCCCAGACCCCTTAGCATACTCTGCAACTCACGCCCCTTCTTCTTGCCCACCTACACACCCTAGTCAGCATCAATCCATCAATCCATCCATCCCAAAAATCAATCACATACCGTAGCATACCTCCCCCCACCCTCATACATCCTCTTTACCTCATCCAACCCCCTCCTCCTTGCCGCCCCACTATTAATACTATGATACGCCACATACATCTCCCTCTCCCTCCCTCCAACTCCTCCCACTCCAACCTTTTCCCCACCCGATACACTCTCTTCACGCTCTTCCGCAATCCGGTGCTCTGAACGCATCAACCGTTCTTCTTCTCGGTCCATATCTAACTCCCATTGCGCGTCCCACGACGCGTTGGTGATATCTTCTCTGCTTGAACCTCGATGGAGTAGGCGTAGGGGTTCCATGCTATCGGATCGGCCGTCATCCCCATCGTCCTCACCATCATCCCCGTTCCCACCATGACCATCCCCCTCTCCATCCCCCCACCCCACGGGACTCAAATCCCTTAAATCCTCCTCCGACTTATCCACGCCAGTGTAATACAGACCCAGCGAGGCAGACAGCGCCGTTCGTGCATTATCTCCCCGGCGACCCAGGCTATCTCTGCGGCGGAGGGTATTGGTGGTGTTGGTGAACCGGCCTTTGAGCGATGTGACGGTTACGTTTTGCCGGATGGTGGCGATGCGGTCGCGGAAGCGGGAGAGGTAGATGGCGGTGGCGGTTTGGTCGGGGGACATTTTGGGTGGGAGGGTATGGGTGTAGGTGTATGGGGGATGTAGGTGTGGATGTTGGTGTGGAAGGTCTTGAGGAGGAGTTTGGAACAGGTTATGCAGGCATTTCCCTTGGTAATTCTGCGTATGAGTCTCGCGAAGGATTTCGCGTGCGAACTGATGGATCTGGCGTTTTGAGGTCAACGCTGGTTCATGGGATGTTGACAAGAAGGTGTTGCACCCGCGGCCGTTGGAACTGGGACCTGAACCGACTCCCAAATTCCGAGCTTGTCACCGTGCGCTGTGGGCACTCATACTGTGGAAGCGAGACACGAGGTTCGCACTGCTTGTGGGCTGGTTAAGTTGGTGGGTTGAAGTTGTTGGGCTGTCAAACGTCAGTGGTTTTGACATCCTTACCCGTACATTGGACCCTTATAGCCATATAGCCATATAACCATCAGTCACATAAGGCACAAAAGCAATACGCACCAATCTTAAAGATATGTTTCATTAGGGTATCCACGCCATTACTACACCTTCTCTCCTACACCCAACAAGTTCAGCAGTACTTCCTTCGCCTTGTCTGGCTCGACACTTCCGTCTGGAGCTCTCATCACCATTTGTCCCACGAACCAGCCGACCTTCTTGACTTGACCCTTTTCGGTGATGTCGCGAACCATGTCGGGTTTCTCTTCTAGCAAGGTTTGTGCTAGTTTGATGTACTCTTCCTGGCTGAGTGGTTGCAGGAGGAGGTTCTCTTGGTGAACGACTTCCGATACGCCTCGCTGATCTCCCTCAAACTTAATGGCAAGCAGACGTTTTGCGGAGGGCGACGTGACCTCTTTGCGACGTATGTGCGAGATGACACCGGCGAGATAGTCGGCTGGGACGCGGTTAGGGTCCCAAGGTTCGTCTTGGAAGAGAGAGCCAAGCTCCATCAGCACCCTAGTCACGCGTTAGTTTGATTCAGACGCGTAGCATAGCAGATAAACATACCAGTTCCCGGTGATCTTGCCCAGGGTTTCAAGCGGAACGTCTTTCTCGTGCTGCTCGGTTTGGCGCACCAGGCAGCGAATGACGTCGAGAAAGTACTCCAACCGTTCACCGTCGTCTATGGAGAGAAGTGTGATGGCATCCTTTGTAGTGAGTCCGTAGGTGTTGGCAAGCATGTCCACATTCACATCGGGCAGCTTGGGAAGGGTGTTCCGGAGGTGTTCAATAAGATCCTGATAAGATTAGCACAGCTTTCATGCCAAAAGTAGTGCCTGTGCTTACGTTTCCAATGATGACAGGAGCAATGTCTGGGTCCGGCATGTAGCGGTAGTCGATCTCGCCCTCTTTGCCTCTGAGACGTTTGGTAGTCTTGCTTCCAAGAGTCCATCCACGAGTCTCGCCCTCAACGACACCTCCACCCTCGAGCAAGTCGATTTGCCGATCACGTTCTGCGATGATGGCGTCTTCGACAGCCTTGACGCTTGCCAGGTTCTTGATCTCAGTCCGCTGCCCAAGACCGGTAACACCGTGGTATGAGTGACTAGAGTCAGATGACTCCCCTGCACGTTGACGAACTGATACGTTGACATCGGCACGCAGTCCGCCCAACTCCATGCCGGTTGTGCAGGCATTGACAGCCTTGAGTATGTTTTGTATCTTGCGAACGACGACCGCAGCGACTGTGGGATCATGGATCTGAGGGAGGGTGATAATTTCGATCAGAGGATGCGAGACGCGGTTGAAGTCGAGTAGGTGGGTCGAAGGGGGTTGCTGCACGGTCTTTGCGGTATCCTGCTCCATCTGTATCTGCTTGATGCCAATCTCGACGGGCCCAGGTTGCGGGGCAGCGCCAGGCGGGAAGTCATGAGGGTACAGGGTAATCTTGCCGTTCGTCGCAAAGGGCTCGTAGTACTGCGTGATCTGGTAGCCCGAGGGCTGATCTTGGTAGAAGTAGTGCTTGCGGTCGAAGCTGCTCTTGGGCTGGATCTCGCACTGGAAGGCTATGGCGGCGCGGAGGGCAGGTAGGAGGGTTTCCTTCTGAAAGTGAGGCTGGGTGCCAGGAAACGCGACATCGAACAAGGAGACATGAGTATTGGGTGCCTCGCTGACGGAGGTCGCAGCACCAGAGAAAAGCTTCCGCGCGGTGTTGAGTTCGGCATGGACTTCGATTCCAACCGTTAGCTCCCACTTCTCTAGTCGCACATCTTTGTCTTTTTTCGAGGACTTTGAGGCGCCAGAAGAGGCGCTCTTCTCCTTCTTCTGTTGCTTCGCAGCATCTTTCAGCTGCTTTCGAAACGCTGTGCCATCCTGGGTCGGTGGTGGCTGGGTCTCAGTGTGGAGAGATCGTGCTGTGTGACGCGTGGGCAGATGAAGGGCGCCCAATTGAGACTGTCTAGTCCGGCGCAGACATGAATGACATATATAGGGCTGTTTTGAGGCTGCAGCAAGAGTGTTGCGTGTGGTGCGGGCGAACATGACGTGAAGTATGGCGAGCAGCAGTTCTGGTGCCAATGCACAGTTGCGGGCGGTCTGTGCTCACTTCCGAGCGACTTTGGACCAGCGACGCGCGACGCCTACCACCCAATACTTCAAAGCCAGGAAATGAAGCCGACGCCAACGCCAAAATCTCTCGCGTCGCTTGTTCCATTTGAATACGTTTCGCCGTCTGCCGAAAGGCCGCCGAGCTCGACGAGCTTTACCGGCACTGTCTCGATGCCACCGCATTCACAACGACCGTCCGCTTTAGGTCACTTTGTGGAGTAACCTCTGGAGTTTTCTGATTGCCCACTCAACAAGGGCTTGTCTCTTTCCTGGTCGTCTTCGTTTCACCCTCTCGAGGTCAATAAGACGGAGGTTGGCAGCGACTCCGCCTAGGTTCTCGGGCACTGACAGCGTTGGATCCGATTCGCATGAGCTTCCCACCGCGGCATGAGACTCCGGCGCCGCGCTCGGGATATTTTGGTGTACAGTAGTCGGCGCGTAGACATGAACATAACAGGTGACGTTCTGATAAAAGGTGTGCTCACCCGCGTTAGGGCGAGGAATGTCGAAACTACCGACGTTTGCCATGCGAGTCGTTTCGTTCGGCTCTCTTCTTGCGGACACGAGCCTTCAGTCTTCTGAAACTGTTGCGGCACCTCTGCCACGCTTCTTCGTCTTTCGGTCTGTCGGCGGCGTGTACGAAGTGCCCAGGATGGATATACACGCCCGGCCAGCGGGAGAAGTCTGCCACTGATTGACGGCTTGTGTCTGTGTCGTGAGAAAATCGCACGCTCCGACTACTGCGAATACTGGCCCCCATCCGCGCAAATGATCGGTATGTCCTGGACTCGAACTTGTGGAGCCGTATACAAGTCTCGACCGTTCAGCTGACTCCTCAAAACTTGCCCTTGATGATGTTCTCAGCAACAGCTTTGGCGCTGTTCAAGAACTTTCTTGTCTGTTCCTTTCTTTTCTTCTCCTTCTTCTGCACCCTCGCTTGTTTGCGTTCTTCTTGTAGCTGTAGTTCTTCTGGTGTGCTAGTATCGGGTTGTGTCTTCGATTGCGACGAGGTGGAAGGACCGGCAGTGTCTGTCTGGGGTGCAGCGGCGAAGTCGGTGAACTTGTATTCTCGTTCAGTTGGATGAGGTTCTGTGTCGGCACAGTCTTTCCCTGAATCGGCACCACAGTCACCTCCAGTATCGCCTTTCGAATCGGCTCCGCGATCTCCAGATGTCGTTCCGCAATCGCCTGAGGATGTCGTCCCAGAGTCTGCGGCGACGAATGGAGACTCCATTCAAAGCCTTGATGTGTGTTTGGCGTCGCTCAAAGATGGAGCTTGAGTGTAAGAAGCGTGGCAGTCAGACGGATCTTCTCCTTCAGCTTAGTCGCCTCGTTGCGCTTCGCTTTGACTGCAGTAGCGGTTTCGGCTCGGACTTGCCTTCGCTGTTGTTTCTTCTCTTTGCGTTCCGCTCTCTCACGATCCCACTTTTCCTGTTCTTCTTTGCGTTTGTGGTCACGTTCCGCACGCTCCTCGGCTGTCAATGGTCGGCTGGACGAGGAGGAACCACCTTGTGGGATGTAATCGATGCCTGAATCTCCGCCTGAGTAGCTGCCACCGTCACCTGCGGTATGGGATGTGCTGCAACCGCCGGAGTCGCCGCCACCACAGTCGCCGGAGCTATAGCTAGCGCTACCACAATCACCGCCGTCTGCCATATACTGATCTCAAGTTCAGAGGTGAAGCTTGAGCCTGAGCGCGTTTATGTAAAGCCGAAGTTTGGCCTTCTTGCTACCCGCGCCTGGGACGTTGGCCTCGATGTCTG